TGGGAGAGCAAGGAGTCGTGCCTTGTTTGTGATGCAAGGTACTGCAGCTATTGTGTCCTTCGGATGATGGGGTCAATGCCAGAAGGGCGCAAGTGCGTCACCTGCATCGGCCAGCCAATCGATGAGTCCAAAAGGTCAAAGCTGGGGAAGAACTCGAGGACGCTTTCGCGGTTGCTCAGCCCGTTGGAAGTAAGGCAAATCTTGAAAGCTGAGAAGGAGTGCCAAGCGAATCAGCTTCGCCCAGAGCAGCTTATTGTCAATGGTTGCCCGTTGAGGCCAGAGGAGTTAACCGACCTGCTAAGTTGTTCACGGCCTCCTCAGAAGCTAAAGCCAGGAAAGTATTGGTATGACAAGGAGTTGGGCTTATGGGGAAAGGTAAATCTATCAAGTGCAAAGCTTCTGTGTGAGTTTACTGACTGTGTGCTAATGAAACTGGTGTTTTCTGATAGGAAGGAGAAAAACCAGACAGGATTATTAGCTCCAACCTCAATTTCACTGGGAAGCTTCAGGCCAATGCTAGTAACGGAAACACCCAGGTTTATATGAACGGAAGGGAGATAACAAAGATTGAGCTGAAAATTCTAAAGGTAACGGTCTTGTCATTTATTTTGCTCTCCAAATGGAATCATCCGTTGCTTTTGGCCAAGCATGCTTTACCCTTCTAGAGCTGCTTTTCTATGGTCGCTGATGGGTATTGTGAGGAAGCTCAGCTGTTGAGTTCCTTTGGCCTAACTGCATTCATAAGGGGCGTTTTTAGCGTTGCAGTGCGTGTAGTCTGTTTCGATCTCACCAACTATCAGTATTCCTTTGTCACGCTAAGGTCCATTTCGTATGACCGTTGATAATAGGCCATGCTAAACCATATAAGCCAGATAGTAATGTATTATCCAATATATAATAAATGTTAAGTTTTATGCTTTAATGGATTTTGATACCACGTGATGTGAGCCATTTTTGTCGTTTCTAGCAAAACTTTATCACCTATCTGTCCTGTTAATTTGAGTTCCAGTACATTAGTTAACTTGAAATATGTTTGTTACCTTCCAGTTTATCCAATTTAGATGTTTAATCGTTAACGTTTTTGGTATAAGAGGATCATTGTCAAAGTTCGATGTGCATATTGTTGTCCTCCACTCCTCGTTTTTATAATTTTCCAGTTTGCAACGAATTAGGAAGTTTTCTCAAATCCAAGGGCTTTACCATTCTGGATATCAAGATAGTAATTCATCAAACAGAAGTTCCCATTTGTATTCTGGCATTCAGGACTAGCATATCATAACCAGCAGCATCGTATGTGATGCTTTCTTTTAGCTCAAAATTTAGTCCTTCAGTCCATAGCCAAGATTCCCGCTCACAGTCACACGAAGCACATAACTCGCCGGGGCCGCAGAATAGGACTGTACACAGGAATTGTATAGGAGTTTCCTAGGAATCAGTTCATTTTTCACATGAAAAACGCAGGAACCGGAAAAAAAAATCCCCTGTTCCAAAGGGGGCCTTGAAGAGTTTTTCCCACTCTTTTGTCTCACCACTTGCATTATGCTTGCAGGTTGCAAATGTTCAGTGTCCCCGTGACACTCATTTTTGGGTTTATGATGATGGTCGTTATGAGGAAGAAGGACAAAACAACATAAAAGGAAAAATATGGGAATCAGTATGTATCTTGGTTAAAAGGAATTTTGTAACAATGCTGTTTCTTTCAAAACTTAAGATAGTAGGTATGCTTAATTGCTTATTGCTAATGATGTCTCCTAAACTGTGGCCAGGCTCTGACACGTTTTGCATGTGCATTATTTTCACTGCCGGTGCCTCCCGGGAATTCAAATGGAACCAGAGATGAAGTTCCATATACAGCAAGAACTGTCCCTGATTATTTGGACCAAAAAAGAATACAAAAGCTGCTTCTTCTTGGACCACCTGGTGCTGGTACGAGCACTATTTTTAAGCAGGTCTGTTCTGATTCTGTCCATTGATGCCTTTAGCTCTATAACACTTCTTGCAATGTAATTTTCTGTAACTGGCCCTATGTGAGAGATTGCACTGTTATCTTTGTTACTCTTCATGCTGATCTTAGTTTTAATGTGTCTTAGGCTAAATACTTGTATGGGACTAGGTTCACCCAAGAAGAACTTGAAGGTATCAAATTGATGATCCAAAGCAATATGTTCAAGTATCTTGGGATTTTGCTAGAGGGCCGCGAGCGTTTTGAGGAAGAAGCTTTGTCTAGATTGAATTACACGATTTCTCAGGGTGAAGAAACTCAGCATGGTAATATGACCGAGTCATTTAGTCCTATTTTCCCCCTACAGACACAGACACAGACACTGTATCATTGAGCTGTTTATGGATGCAGATGAAAATAAAGCCAACGGATCAGATTCTTGTATATACTCCATAAATGCAAGGCTAAAGAAATTTTCAGATTGGCTTTTGGATATCATAGCAATGGGTGACCTAGATGCATTCTTCCCTGCTGCAACGCGTGAATATGCTCCGTTTGTTGATGAGATGTGGAAGGACCCTGCCATACAAGCAACATTTAAAAGAAAGGAAGAATTGCATTTTCTCCCTGATGTGGCTGAGCACTTCTTGAGCAGGGTATAACCTGATAGCTTTTAAATTAATAGAGCTCCAACATTGATCAACCTAGTTTGTATCATGTGGAGCTGAGTTTTTTTTTTCCTTCAAGTTTTTGAATGACTTTTGGTACTATTCTTTGCATATCCACTGCAGGCCATTGAGGTGTCAAGCAATGAGTATGAACCTTCAGAGAAAGATGTAATCTTTGCTGAAGGAGTAACACAAGGAAATGGGCTAGCCTTCATTGAGTTCACACTTGATGATCGCAGCCCAATGTCTGAACCTTATATCGACAACCCTGAGGCACATTCCCAGCCTCTCACCAAGTAATTTCTTAACTTACTTCCTGGCCATGTGTAAAAGGTGCATCTGAATCATGTGCTTTAAATCATGTGCTCTTTTTCTTCATCAGATATCAGCTGATCAGAGTTAGTGCAAAAGGCATGAATGATGGCTGCAAATGGGTGGAAATGTTTGAAGATGTCCGTATGGTAATATTCTGTGTAGCACTCAGTGACTATGACCAATTGGGACCCCCTGTAAGTGGCAGCAGTCGGCCTCTTGTGAACAAAATGATGCAAAGCAAAGAGTTATTTGAGGCTACAATCCGGTACGCTAACGTTTTCCTTCTGAGGTTATCTTTTACTAGTCAATAACTAAGGCCTTGTTTAAATCTAGGGTGTAAAGTTTTGGGGTGTCATATGGGGTGTTCTGAAACTAATAAAAAAGGGCGTACACAGTGCAGAGAGCTCCCGCTCTGTGCGGGATCTGGGGAAGGGTGTTAGGGGCAAGCCTTACCCTCGCCTGTGCAATGCGAGGAGACCGCGACTCGAACCCGGGACCTTCCGGTCACAGGCGGTAAGACTCAACCGCTTGCACCAGGCCCGCCCTTCGGTGTTCGAATACTAATAAAAAAACAAATTACAGAATCCGTCAGTAATCCGTGAGACGAATTTATTAAGCCTAAGTAATCTGTCATTAGCTCATGTGTTACTGTAGCACCACGTTGTCAAACCATGTACTAGTTAGGCTTAAAAGATTCGTCTCGCAAATTAGTCGCAAATTGTACAATTAGTTATTTTTTTAGTCTATATTTAATATTCTATGCATGTGTCTAAACATTCGATGGGATAGGGAGTAAACTTTAGGGGAAGGAACTAAACTAAGGCCTAAATCTAGCATAATGGTCCATGAATCCAATGATTCTCTTGAGTTTGTGATATCTTGTGGGAAGCAGTAAAATTTGAATCTCTGATTGAGCAGGCAACCATGCTTCTGCGATACTCCATTTGTTCTGGTTCTGAACAAGTATGGCCTTTTCGAGGAGAAGATCAACCGCGCGCCCATCACTAGCTGTGAGTGGTTCAACGACTTCTGCCCGGTGCGGACGAACCACAACAACCAGTCGCTGGCTCATCAGGCATACTACTACATCGCCATGAAGTTCAAGGACCTGTACTTTGCGCAGACGAACCGGAAGCTTTTCGTGTGGCAGGCTCGTGCCCGTGAGCGTCAGACTGTGGACGAAACATTCAAGTACATAAGGGAGGTTCTCAAGTGGGAGGAGGAGAAAGACGAGAACTACTACCAGGAGGAATCGTTCTACAGCACAACTGAGATGAGCTCCTCCCCGTTCATCCGAGCGGAATGAGATGGCGGGCACATGCTGATTGATTTTGTTTTAGCTGATTTCGTGTGGTACATACAGACGCAAAAATCAATCATTATCAGTGTATATTATTTAATTGATTTTCTTATTCGTATCGTAATTGGTATTGGTTGTGTGTATTTTAGTGCTAAGGCATATAAGAATCAAGAATGTGTTGTTAGTACTGCTGCTGCTAACTGTTGGTGCATTGTATCTACCAGTACTAAATTTACCCAGCTGGCAGATACAGAGAAGACAAAATGTATGTCCCTTTGACTAGCAGAATCATTGATTGAAACATCAGCGTACACATATCCTGTTTAAAATTGAGCTTGTGATTTTTTTGAGCAGTGACCACATCCTGTTTAAAATCGGGTTTGTGAATTTTTGACCAGTGCCCGGTGTGCTGTGACGTGCTGGCCTCGCAACCAACTTGTCTTGCCAAAGGTGGCAAGTGCATAGCTTAACACTGGCTGCTGCTCAGTCTCAGGCTTGCCTCACAACGAGCACAAATATGCTATGTAGCGAGACCAATCCATACAGTGTCGACATTTTCAACACCAAAATAGGAGAAAAAAGAACAAGCACCTCTCATCAAAATTATTTTCAGCTGTCTTGGTTACTTGCACTTGATTTTCACAATTTGCCGCAACAATAATATCCAACTTATATCTCAAAACTAACATCCAACTTATATCTCGAAATTAACGTAAGATGTCCCTGCAACACGCCTGCTGCCGTCGGAAGGGGAGGAGCCTAAACTCCAAACAATTTAGAACCCAAAACCTGAAAAAGAAAACCAACACAAATTAACACCACCATTGGCATTGCTCAACAAGCTAGCCATCGGATGCCACAGGCAACCCACACGTACCTGAGCCACCACCCATTGGGTTTGCAGGAGCAGGTGCTTGCTCAGGCTCCTTGATGTCAACGACAACGGCATCAGAGGTGAGGAAGGTTTTCGCCACCGACGCAGCATGCTCCAAGCAGCACCTCACAACCTGTTTTTGCAAAAGAAAATCCTCATATCACCTAAATCTTTCTTTTCATAGCAACACAAGGCATTGCTTCTGCAGAAACACACCTTGGTGGGATCAATGATACCAGCAGCCATCAAATCCTCGTACTTCCCTGTAGCCGCGTTGTACCCATACCTGAAGTTCTCATTGGCAAGAACCTGAATATCAACAAGTTCCAAACTTGTTAAGCACAAGTTGCACAACCCCTGACTAATAACGGGCACAATTTGAGCACAAACCTTCTCAGTAACCACACTGCCATTAACACCTGCATTCTTTGCAATCAATTTAAGTGGATAGCTCAAGGACTTCCTTACAATTTCAGCCCCAACCTTGTAAAGGAAAAACAGGGGCAAAAAGGTCACCATTGATGGAATATAAAATAGAACCTTAATCAAAGGGTAACATTTTTTTGAGGGGAAGGGTGACATTAAACAACTAAACTTTGGAACCTACCTTCTGTTCATCATTCTCAAGGGTTTCTATAATTGCATCAACTTTTGATGCAAGCCTCAGAAGGGTACAGCCACCACCAACAACAATACCTTCCTCAACTGCTGCCTGCAAATATAGAAAACTATCAACTAACAAGGACTGATACAAACAGGATTTTAAGAAATCAACACGGTGCAAATAGTGCATCAGAAGGTTATGTGAATGGGAGCATACAGGTATACTGTGCCTAACACCAGATGCATTTCAGCAACACGAATAGCATTTACCTTTGTAGCATTCAGGGCATCCTCAACCCTCAGTTTCTTTTCCTTAAGCTCAGTTTCTGTCTGTGCTCCTACCTACAAAGCAAGGCATATCATGTTCTAGTTGTTTTATTCTGCTAAGCATGCTAAATACACCAAGAGGCACCTAAGGTACATCGGGCTTTACCTGAATGACAGCAACACCACCAGAGAGTTTAGCTATCCTCTCGTTTAGTTTTTCTTTCTCATATTCTTGTTCAGTAGCCTGAAAAATTGATGTTTGGGAACTAACCATTAATAAAAGCATTTTTTTTCCAAATCAAAAGTGACTTATGGAGACATGCAAGACAAGGGAATGCAGATTATCTCTATTAGCAAATGAGGGCTGTCAAAAGGAGCTGATAAACAGAGCAGAACCACAAAGAGGAAATTAAAATTTTGAAAGAAAACAGAGGAACATAGAATTTAAGACTCTTCAGAATGCAAACCTCAATCTGGTTCTTGATTTGGGTCACCCTTTTGTTTACTTCCTCCTGTGTAGTGCCATCTCCCACTATTGTCGTTGAATCCTTAGTTACTACAACCTTGGCAGCAGTTCCTAGGACCTGATTGTCTGCCTTGTCTAAGGATAATCCAACTTCTTCTCTGATGACAGTGCCTGCGTGAAGGATGACCGATGAAAATGATCAGCTGGCACCAAAAACAAAAAAAGGTATATCAAATCATAACTAAAGATTAAGTTCACCTCCAGTGAGAGTAGCAATGTCATCAAGATATTGACTCTTTCGCTCTCCAAAACCAGGGGCCTTGATAGCAGCAATCTTCAATGCACCTCTAAGCCTATTAACCACAAGCGTTGCAAGAGCTTCCTGCTCAATATCCTCTGCGACTATTAGAATTGGATATCCACTTCTAATAGCATCCTCCAGGATAGTGATAAGATCTCTGGCGTTGTTAATTTTCTTGTCCACAAGGAGCAGCTGGTAATAGAATTAAAATCACCATAAGCATACAGAAGTCATAAAAATTGCTATTACTAGATAGTACTACACAATTTTCAATACAATGATGAAGGGGAGCATCAAACCTTGCAGTTCTCATACTCGACTGTCATTTTTTCACTGTCAGTTACAAAGTAGGGAGAAATATAGCCACGGTCAAACTGCATTCCCTCTACAACATAGAGGTTATTTTCAGCACTCTTTCCTTCTTCAAGTGTGACCACTCCCTGCCGCCCAACCTTTTTCATAGCCTCAGCTATCATATTCCCAATTTCATAGTTATTTCCAGCACTAACTGCAGCAACATCAGCAAGCTCACTGTCCTCAACCTGCAGTGTCAAATGATAGTCCAACATATTCAAAATTTTGAAGAGGGAATAGTATTCTTGAAAGTTGAAATGAACAGGATTCAAATGGGAATCAATGATCACAACTACAACTGACTGTAAAAAGTACCAAAATATCAAGTCTGTAGAATCTATGTGCAGTTCAACTGTAAAAGAAGTATGCCCGATAGCACACCATACAACATTCAGATAACTCTGGAGGAAGAAATTGAAATAAAAAAAATACAGAGACACAGCATATATCTTCAAAGAAGGCAAATCGGATGAACTAGTGCAGCATACGTGTCTTTAAAACATGGTGGCTTCATAACAAGAGTCCATTTCTCTGGACTTACGCACATATTCAATCGATATATAGACAAACAAGCAAGCCCTGTTCCACATGAAGCTCGTATTGAGATGTATAACAGTAAACATCTCATTGATGGTAATCAGGGTCAGCCAACCACCCTATATGTAGCTTGTATGGAGTGCAGTGTGCTAAACCCATCAGATATTCAGGTGCTCAATGCGATTGTATTGTAGTGAAGCGATTGTTCAATGGCAAAGATAAACAGAGTACCAAGGAATGCAGAGATGTATTTCCTAAACAGAATGAGATCATAACCAAAAGTTACCTCCTTGGACATCTTTTGGAGTTCGCTGACTAGCGCTTTGGCTGTTTTCTCAATACCACGGGTGATCTGCACTGGATTAGCACCAGCAGCTACAACCTGGAGAAAGTAGCAAAATACTCTAGATCTTCAGACATGAGCAAAACAGCGATGATATAGATACCCTGAGACATGAGGTTTTATATTAGCATGTACCTTTACACCCTCGGTAATCATCCCTTGAGCAAGGACGACCGAAGTGGTTGTCCCATCACCAGCCAAGTCATTTGTTTTAGCAGCAGCTTGGCGGACCAATTTAGCACCAATATTTTCAACAGGGTCCTCAAGTTCAACCTGGTGCATGGTCACAGCCCAGAACAGATGAGGAAACTCAACTCGGCAGCCACAGCAAGTTACAGCAGGTCATGGTTGCAGTATGAACAAGAACAAACGATGGCAAATGTGTAGTCAGATGAGCACCTCCTTTGCCACAGTGACACCATCATTGACAATTTTAGGTGAGCCATACTTGCTCTCGAGGACTACATTCCGTCCCTTTGGTCCAAGAGTAACCCCAACGAGATCTGCAAGCTTGTTGACCCCATTCTGACATAGGAAAATCAAGTAATAAGAAAGTGCAACGCGAAGATGGCACACGTGAAGGTGTGGAGCAGCAGCGGTCTTCTAGTCAAGAGTGATTATAGGCATGTCAGACAACTCACTTGCAGTTTCCTGATAGCCGAGCCATCCTTGTTGAAGTGCAGCTCCTTTGCGGCGTTTACTCTGAAATTGCACTTCCTCTGGGGCCTCATCTTGCGCGGAAGCGAAACCAGCGAGGGCGAAACCAGGGAAAGGTGCTTCTTGGGCGCAGCAAGCGCAACGCCGGCAGGTGCAGGCTTGATGCCGCAAGTGGAGGCGGTCCCGAACGCTGAAGCCATGGATTGGTGGTACTGCAAGAAATTTGAAGGTTTGCATCAGCACTCAGCTATCCATCTAATGTATCCGTGACCGTGATGAGAGAGGCAGCCGCAGCCCCCGTGAGTGAGATTGAACTGAAGAGCGCAACTGCATGAGGGAAATCCCACCGGCCACCCGCCGGTGGACGGACGGATGGATCGATCCGGCGCCGGCGGCAACAACAAAGGAGCAGAAGAGGAATCGATGGTTTACCTGGATGGATGGCGCAGCCGCAAGGGAGAAGGAGAATGGAATGTCAATGGCGAGGGAGCAGGTTCTGGTTGGCAGCAGCTAGGGTTTAAGAGAGGGGGGGGGGGGGGATCGGTCAGCGAGCGATCGGCTGACAGCGACAGGTTGTTTGGGAGAAGAGGAAGCAAAGAAGCATCCAGAAGGCCCAAACCCAGGCCCAACAGCATATGCCTTCCTTCAAGACCCAGCAAGTTATAAAGCTCAAAAGATTAAAAAAAAACAAAGCAAATTAAAGCAGCATTTTTTTAAAACCTGGGACTGCTAATCCAAACTGCATGCATGCTTTCTTTGTCAACTTGAGTAGCAGCAGTTCAAAGATAAAGGCAAAGGTGAAACAAAGATAGGCATGTCTCCAACCAATGCCAAAAAGGCAAAGGCTAAAAACAAAGTTCAGATGCTAAACTTGTCAATACTTTTTATTACTGCCCAATATGCTGAGTTATTTCCATCTCCCGGTCCCAAAAATATGTTTCGGCAAACAAATTTAGGATAACCACAATTACTATTCGTGCTATTGCCTCTGGTTACAAATATAATACTTGGAGAGTTGGGCTGTGTTCGGCTGGCTGCCTGGCTGATTGCCGGCTGGCCAGCCACCTCACATAATCACGGTTCACGTCCTGTCAGAATAGTATTTTTCTCTCACAACAATCAGTCGAAACAGTATTTTTCAATCCTGCCAAACAGGCCCTTGGCCAAGAACCACTTAAACTTAAGACTTGTTTGATACAAAAGCTAATAGCTAGCTAGCTAAAAATTAACTCTAGTGCATCTAAGCTAATTTTTTAGTCTAAGTCTTCAACTAGCTAGCCAACCATAGCTAATTTAGACTAATATATATCAAACATGTCCAAACAGGCCCTTAGTAACTTTGATCGCCAATGACTTTTAACTCCTGCAGTCCTGCTTATATCCTCGGAGCAATCGGCTATAAACGGTCACGCTAACATGGAAATCATGCCTCAAACAATCCAATGGCAACATCTCAAAACGCATCAAACTGACAAAAATAACAAAAAAAAGGTCTAGATCCATGTGACAGTGGAGAAAAAAAAACAAAGCCTTCCTAGCTGCTACAGTCTCCTGAGAAATCACCGCTGTTTATCCCTGATAGCACCGGGCTCTGTCACTGTATCAGAGCCTTCAAGGAGGTTAACCTAGCTCACCAGTGCCTCTCGACAATTATTAAAGGACAGATAAAAAGAGAGATAAAATAAGACAAAATATATATTATTGGCTCTCTCGAGCTCTCTGGATCCCACTGTCTGAGGTTAGTACACACACAGCTTTACTTGAGTGATTAGCTAGCAGATTTAATTAAAGAGATAGCAACACAACACCCTGATACTAGATTAAAATAAAATCAGTTCGTTTTCTTGGACGAATCATCCTCTGAGGAACCATTGTTGTTGCTGTTATTATCGTTGCTGCTGCTGCTACTGTCATTTGATGTGTTGCTAAGATCAGGAACTACTGCTGTGGCCGGTTCAACATGAGCCAGCCGAGCTGCGCCTATCACCTGCTCCGGTAGCTCCTCATATGTGTTGGCCTGACGAGAAGTTCAGAGTATAGCAGTGAGTCAGTGCAAAAATCAATACATGCATTGTGCTATTGTTGATCTCAGCAGAATGCTAACGTAAAAAAAATGTCAAGGGGAGTTATTAGTCACCTGTATTAGGAAGGCCATATCAACTACTAATGTCGTCACCACACCAAACACAAGACCCAAAACTCCATTTGCTACCGCCGAAGATCCAATGTCAACGTCCACCTAAACGATGAGACAAATTGGGTTGGGTTCGGTGCAGTATTAGTATGCAACCTCCTGAAACATTGTTCCCTAAGCAGAACACCCAACCCAAATGGGTTGACTCAAACACACCATCTTTGTGTCCTTCCAACTTCCATGCCTTATGGATATGAAGATGAAACGAGATACTATGCATGCATAGCTCGTTGCACAGATACAAATACAAAAGATTTCAGTTATTATAAACATGACTCACCTCCAAGTACGCAGGACCTCGAACATAACTACAATCAACAGCCTTTCCCAAAAGACAAGGGGTGCTTCCAACACTCTGTCGCACTATCCAGGAGCCCTGAACAATTTTTTATACTGTTAAATAGGAACTGAATAATACAAAACTACTACTGCACCGTAAATAACTACTATGTGAGCGTATACCTTAGGAACGGATGGTATAAGCTTTAGTCTGCTATTGCGGAATTCATCATCGCCATCAAAAAAGCGCTGTAGTAACGATCCCTTTTTCAAGGTACTTGTGACAAAATACATGACCAAGCTGTACTGAGTTGATCCAGGAATCTACAAGAGGATACTAACTTCACCAAAATCCTTCAAATACACTGATAATAAAGATTACAAGGTAATTCTTAGTGAATTCCAACTTACCTGTATGTTGACAACAAATGTATGCATCCCTCTCTCAGCAGCAACCTAAGAAAGTGGCAAAATGGGAAGATACAAGTAAGCATTGGCCTTACTTGGATGAGGGCGTGGATTACACAAGGAACCACAAACTGATTACGTCCAGCCATCCTACTTTTAACAACAATTGTTGTCATTTTACCAATTGGTAAACCTTCAGAAGGTTCTAAGCTGTTCTTTCTGTTTACCTGAGCAACACAACCCTTCTGCCTGGCAACATTATCCATACGTTTGGTGTCCTTAAACCAGTCAATGGCTGCAAGCTCCATGAGATAACTTGCTGCAGGTATCTGTAACTTGGATACAAGTGAAATTAAAGTTCTTCATGCAAGCCATTTTTTTTTAAAAAAAAAGGGTACTGCCAAGCAATAAAGCACAAAGCTGGAAGATTTTGACCTTTGATTTGTCTTGTGGGAAGGTCTTGCTACGAACTTTAAAGATCTTGCTATCAGGTACTGTCCAACAATTGCGGCTTTTCTCCTCAGGATCACGATGAAGAATACCCAAAAAACAAGATAAATCATTTTTTTCTGGAGGCTCATCTGCAATAAAGATGCACTATCACCGTTATGGCAAAAAGTAATGATACCTGTCCCAGTAACTTTTTTCTCGATCAGGCCGTAGCCTGTTTACCTGTCCCGGTAACTTGATAGTAGACACGAGAATAGACCAACAGAATAATATAGGGCAAGATGGGGAATCAAACCTGTGCGCTTGCTATCATTATCAGATTTGTTCGGGTCTTCCTGTATATTGGTTTTGGTCAAGGTTAGGTATGATGATAGAAAACATGTTAAACCTTTTTTCGGAAGCAAATGGCAGTGAGAACATGTTAAAATTGTAGGTGATATTTCAGGATATGGAACTCAATGGTGTTGGACATTATTACAATTTTTACTAAGTAAAGAAGTCATAAAAGTATTCTCATAGAGTGGTCTAGTACAGTAAGCACCTCTATATCAGCTTCAGGAACTTGATAATCATCATCATCATCTGATTCTTCATCAATCATTCCCATGTTTTTATTTGCCTTGGTGTCAACTTCTTGAAGCTTATGATTTTTTGGCTCTGAATCCGCATCGAACATGGTTTCCATTACAGGAATCCTTGGGATTATATGGATTTCATCTGTTTGGGAAAAATATTCACGCAATCCTGGGAGTAGGTGCAAAACATAAGAACCAAAATGAATCAGTTGGAGAACAGCACTATGTTGTCACACTGACAAACTTAGTTTATTGTTCTCATGCTAAGATGGAGTTGTTAGTTACTGTGTGCATGAAAATAACAGTATTTTAATACCTGCAACACAGTTTAGTATCTGCAGCAAAGAATGATACTGAAAGGAAAGAGAGTAGTTCAGGAACCATCCCTTCAGGTCAATCTGCATAAGGTGTTGAACCTGAGTACGAGGTCTTCCATTGCGACACTTGAGAGGAGAAATCTTGAAACCTCCACCTGTACTAGCAGAAATTTTAGGAAAAGAAAAAACAAAGGACCAGAAGCTGACATTTTTGTCTGGTTTATATTTTGAGTGTTCCATACTCTAAGGCAGATGAAGATTTAATATGTGCCAAAGGAAAATTACTTTCAATGAATGCCCTCACAAATCCTTGTTGCCGGCCACAGTTAGGATGTTCTATTGACTGGAACAGCACAACTGCATATGTGCACACATTGTGTCAAAGAGAAGGCATTGCAGGCATCAAATTAAGGTGATAGGTAAAAAGAACAATCAAACAATTACCGTAACTTCCATCATCGTTACGACGCCAATACCGAGCATAACAAAGATCTCGAGGCCAGACTAGCCTGTATAGTTAATGTTGATAGAAAATCTGTTGGCAACAGTCAGAAGCAAAATCAAATAATAAGTTGACAATGTTGAGAATCTAGTTACATTGGGCACCAGTGCAGCTGCAGCCTATGATATAGTATTGCAGTGTGACCATCAACCTCTTCAACTAAACTGCCGTGACGAAAGCTACAGTCCCACCTATAATGGAGAATGAAGATCAAGAGATCAACATCAGCGGTAGGGAAAACAGAATGTTAGAAAACCACACTTACTCGTATCTTGTTACATCCATGCTCATTACAAGACCAAAGATCGCTTCACATGTGGCTTCAACTACACCAACAGCCCTCATAGCTCGGCTGCAGCTTCGTGCCTACCACACAACGGAGTACAAATAAAAAAAATCATCAGGTTTTAGACAGTATATAAATCACCAAAAAAAAAAAAGAAGTTGGAGCATACAAGGTAATCTACTTCCAGAAGTTCTTCAAATATGCGCAACCCTGGCAATACCAAAACAGCGACAACTTCAACTTCAAATAATCCTAAGAGGAAGGATTATATTGACCTAAGGGGAGAAATGAAAAGACTTGCCATTTTGGCATCTAAGTAGTCGCCAATTCTTCTTGGAGCAAAATTGATTGGGGTCGTTCTGATTGGACACACCAATGTCAGGCTCTTTGGTCCAGTCATGTATTGAATCAGGGGGGCCTAGCACCAGAAATGACATTGTGGATTTCTATAATGTTCAAAACTGAAAAATAAATGTTGCAAAATAACAGCGGTCAACTTCACTTGGAATAATTAATGGATCTTTTTTTTTTACCGTTCCCTATAGTAGTCCTGCGAGTCAAAGTGGGCCGTTCCTCGTCATCTTCAGCTCTAGAATTGTAACAAAGATTCTAACGAAATCAGAGAAAGGCCTAGCAGAAGGTAATCAGACACATGGAATGCCACTTACGTGCTGTCATGATCTGAAAATAAAAACTGCCCTCCAAGTTCCGTGTCGAAGTCCACTGAAGCAAAGGCCTTACGGTTCTTAGCTGTCATAGAGTCCTGTTGCTGCAAAAATGCAAAAAGGAAAAGAAAAGTTTTGTTCGATAAAAAATAGCTAGCACGTTGCAACTTGCTGCAATCCAAAATGAGTTCAGATACAGTACTGGATAGTGGTCCATTGTAGGTGATTGCTCAATTGCATTCGTTTTTAAGAATATGAGATAGGCCGGGGATCTAATTAAGAAGCAAATAGCAGATCCTAAACTCTGTGGTTGAAAAGGATTATTATTGCTGTTAAAACTCAAGCTTTCTTCAGACATGTTTTACAGCTACTGCATCGTATTTTTGTAAAAATTAAAAACAGGTACAGCCCAAACTTATACTACACCTGATCAATGATGAGTTCTATCTTCTTTTTCCATGCCATTGCATCCTCGATGTCATACGCACCCATCTGTGAATTCAGTTTATTTGTGATCTGACGGTGTATGTACAAAACAGGGAGAAATATATGTTGAAGGGTTGAGCTATAGAACAAACTGTTATCTGGTGCTCCTTTTCTTTCTTGTTATAAATGCACAAGACATAAATCATCTGAAAGAAAACAGAAAGAAGGGATGAGAATGTATATAAAGGGCGTACCCAGTGCAGAGAGCTCCCGCTCTGTGCGGGGTCTGGGGGAGGGTGTCAGTGGCAAGCCTTACCCTCGCCTGTGCAATGCGAGGCGACTCGAACCCGGAACCTTCCGGTCACAGGAGGTAAGACCCTACCGCTTGCACCAGGCCCGCCCTTCGGATGAGAAGGTATATCCAGAAATTAATTAATTAACAAGTAACAAAAAAAAGCAAAAGGAGAAAAAGAAGAGATGGAGACATGGAGTTGCAAATTAAATGAACTCACTTGGCCATGATGCGTTTTGAGGCCTCTATCCTCCACCCTGCAATTCCCGTCTATTAGCAGCGACTTGAGTGGAACCTGGGTGCATATATATGTCCACAAATTGCATCCATCATCCGTCAGTAAGTAAGGGGAGGTTATCACTTAATGGAAATCAATCAATGAACCATGCCACAAGTGCAAATTACCACGTTGTCCTTTGGCTTCTTCTTGTAGTACGCGAGCAGCTTGCTATCGAGCACAAAGTAGCGCGTGTGGAAGAAGGACCTGCCGATCTTCCTGCGGCCGTAGCGCACCATCCAGCCCTCGTGGCGCACGGCGGCCTCCCTGACTGATACGGCAGGGGCGGCGGCGGCGTTGTTGGACGCCGCCTTGGCCGGCTCGGCGGGCTTGGTAGCGGCGGGCACGTTGTTGGACGTCGCCTTGGCCGGCTCGATGCCGGCGGTCTTGTTGGCGGCGTCCCGGAGGGCCATGGCGGCGGCCCTGAAGAGGTCGCTGCTTTTGCTCTCCCGCCTGGACGCCGACGAGCCGAGCATGTTGGGCACCCGCGCGTGTTACAAACAAGGATCGCGCCTACGTCTCTCTCCTTCTCCGATCAAGGCTCCCGCCACCGCTAGCTCAGCCGGAAGAATAATCCGTCGATTAGGAAGGAATGCGAATGCATGATGATTGGGTGGATGGATAGTATGGGACGGCAGGTGGTGATACGGGAGGAGGAGCAAGGCATCAGGCATGGCTACGGCAATGGAGGGTTTGGAGGGGTGGCGGCGCGAGAGACGCGCGCACTCCGCACGGGCGGTCGCCATGGCCAGTCAAGCGCTCCTCTTTCTCCTCCCCTCTCTTCTCGAGCCCAAAATAACTTCGTGCTCCTCTCTCTCTCTTCTCTGCCACTGATACTTTTCTAAAGGGTTTTTTTTTATTGATACCATTACAATTTTCGAAATTTAGAAAAATACCATTACTATTCATCTATTTTGAATCTCACCGTTACAATTCTTCGTGTGTTTGAAATATGCCACGGTATACGTCTGGAGAGGCCTTGGGCCCAGCTGCAGGCGTACACGGCATCATTGTATTTTCGTATGGACAAAACTACCCCTACCACCTTACTCTCTCTATGTCACTTACGTGTGGACCCCACTAGTCATCTTCTTCCTCCTTCCTTCCCTGTCTTCTCCGTGACAGCTTCTTCCCCAACTCCCATGGCGACCAGTGGGCGCCGGCCGCCGTCGTGCCCCTCGGCCATGGCGGGGAGGAGCTCCCGCGTGACCATGGAGGGCCGGAGCTCTTCATCTCGAGCTCCGTGCACGACCATGGAGGGCGGAGCTCTTCCGCTCGAGCTCACATGGCCACACACATGGTCGGCAGAGCTCCCACGCCATGCCATGGCAAGTGAGCTCCTCCTCTCCCATCACTGCCTTTGCGCTCCCCCCACCTTGGCCCCATCTGCACTCACGGAGATGGCCTCTCCCACCGGCCCCTGTCTCGCTTAGAGCCCCCGCCTTCTCCCTTCATCTCGGTCCATGACATCGGGCGACCCCTTCCACTTGTCGTCCGGTCCGGGTCCCGGCTTAAGGCGTAGGAGCTTGGCATAGCTTGGCCGGCCCGGCTGGCCAGTCAGTCGTCGTAATCCGCCGACAGACAGGGCGGTGATATGGAGGCGCGCCCACGAGCTCCGGTCGGCAGCCGAGAGCGGCAGATGGTAGGCTAAAGGTCACGACACAAGTGAGGACATGGGCGGCATGCAACGACGCGTGGCGGCGGTGACCGTGGAGGCTCGGAGCAGCGGCGGGTGAGCTCTCCTAGGATTGATCGAGGAGCTTGTTCAACATCATGGACATGTCGGCCGCCGCAAAATTGTGGGCGATCCGGTATGCACGGGAGGAACTCGAATCATTTGCTCCGTCGAGCCCTTGGTCAGCTGAAGCGCATGAAGACGCGTAGGTGGGAAGTGGTGACCGATTAGAGGAAGGGATGATCGTGGGCCCACATGTCATTGAGTGGGGGAAGGGGTAGTCAGAGGGGTATTTTTGGCTATACGAAAATACGGCAGTCTGCAAGTGGGTCCGGTGTTGTTTCAAGAGTAGAAAATGGCATGAACCGGGTACGGGAACAATTGTAATGGCAAGTTTCTAAATAGGTGAATTGTAATAGTATATCTCAGAAGAAAAAAAATTGTAATGGAGTGAATCCAAATAACCCTTTTCTAAAGTCACACAAAAAAAACTGTCCACCAATTATCCAGATGCAATCTCTCTCTCTTCCTCTCGCCTGAACCATAGATCGAGGCCGGAGACGCGGCCGGCTGCGCGGACTCCATCCAGGGGCGCGGCCGGCGGAGGAGCCGCCTCCAGCCGGAGGCGTGGCCAGGCTCGCGGCCTCCAGGCAGGGGCGCGCGGCCAAGCTCGCGGCTTCTAGGCAGGGGCAAGAGGCGAGGCTCGCGGGCTCCAGCTGGGAGCGCGGCCAGGCTCGCGGCCTCCAGGCAGGGGTGCGCGGCCAGGCTCGCGTCCTCCAGCCTCATGCGGAGGGCCATGGACTGCTGCGGCGGAGGGTGGGACGAGAAAGTCACGTCGCAGATGAGCGGGAAGGAAGGCGGCGGCGGGATCGTGCGGGGGCAGTCGAAGGAGTTACTGCTGGGGATATGCTCCGGTTCTAGGGCACAAGATCCAGTGGACTCCATCTCGCAGTCGCAGGTATGGTTTCTCTTCTGTAGCTAGACGATAGTGATAACATTCTCCTGATTATTCACCGCCTTAACATCTGTCGAATGGTGAGCTTCAGATGCTTTGTTATGCACTTAAGGTGTTTGAAATTTGATGGATTCTCCGCACCTTGAAGTCAGTAATGGGAATAGTACAACCACAAATTCATTGTTGGGAGTTGAGGTAGGAAGGAAACTAATCTTTGCATCATTCTCTTTAATTCATATCCACCTATCTGATGTGGTACTAATTAAAATGTTTTTTTACGTATAGAATGCCAATAATGACAATATGCTCTCTGGCTTTGCTTACGGGACAGGCATATCGCTAAAATAAAGATCGGTGGTAGTTGCACACTAAAGAAATTATATTAGGAGGTAAGTGGTCATTTTTATCCCCCTTCTCTATAAACAATGCATAATTATGCTATTTTTCTGCTACTCCCTGTTTAGAAAGTATGTAATTCTAAAACATGGTTCAGATAAGTATCATGACACATGGTTCAGCCAGGACTGAGTTTCAGATAAGTAATCTGACATTTATCAATCTGAGAGTTACAGAATATCAGGTAAGTAATGTGGAACACCAGTCTAGGGGTTCCCTCCATCGCCGTGCCTCAGCTCCGCACTCAACTTACCACCCGGCATGTTTTGTAAAATAATGAAAATTTGGCATTGGTGGAGGCTGTGTTAGTTTGAGTTGGATGCTGGGCATGTGGAATCCGGTCAAGCAGCTAATGATTGTACTTTGTACATTGACATTGCCTTATTTTTTGGCTTGATTGGGGCTTGGTGGTGAAATCATATGTTACATTTCTGTTGACCCCTGCATTTATCAAAGATTATAGCACCTGATTTTAAAGATATATGGAAGCTTTTTATGTCTTTTGAATAAAATTCCTGTTCTCTAGCAATTATTGATCTAACCCAAGCTCCTTACAGGTGTTGCCATTTGAAGCTGGTGGTTAACACAAGGGGTTGGAGCATATCAGGTTCATGTACCAGTAGATGGAAACCAAGCCTGTACATGACTCCGGAGGTATATAAATATAACTTCTGTTGTCATGTAGTCCACACTTCTCCCTTTCTGTGTATATGTACACTTATGCATATGACATTACCATTCTTTTTTATTGCATATGTTAATATGTCGGGAATACAATGTAGCATTAGAAAAAATATATTCTAGCACATGTCCTTTGTTCGATTCCCTTGAACAATGAATCAGAATGATTGTTTACCATTTTTTTAATTACGCCTATTAATTGAAGTCCATTTTTTTAAAAAGAAAAGTGCGAGCAGTGGTGACTGGTGAACATGTTTTAATCACGTTGGTCCCCCTGCTTTTGGCCATTGGCAATTGAATTATTATGGTTGGTTGGAAGTTAAATTTACTTGCTGCAAGGTTGTTTTCTTTACTAACTAAAATAGTGGGTGTTGACTTCAGTAATTTAATATTGTTATGTTTTTCCTGAGTTTTCTTTATATGCTACCAGGAGTTGAGAGCACTGCGAGGAGTTCCTATTTACAGGCAGCAAGGTGATGCCTTTCTTCAGTGATCGGTTCATATTTTTTTTTCCTACAATGCTTTACTGATTCTGAATGAAATGGATAAATCTGCTCGAAGAAGGTGAAGAAGAGGAAGGCGGATCAAGTGACTGCTGATGGAGAAGAGGCACACATGTTCTTGGTGGATAATACCGCCAGCTGTACCAAGAGACTCTGCAATGATGAGTTTAGCTGTGGTTCCTATAAAGTTTCATGTTGCTGGAATTGCAATGGGCCTGGTCCTTGATACACAGGAATTTGGTGGAGATGGTAGCCCACTTATACTTTCTGATATTACTGGAGCTGAAGATGCCTCTGGTGACATGGATTTGAAGGTGTGACTTGTATTTTATTCTGAATTTGATACTTGGAACTGCATTAGGTTAGTATATGTTGTTCTGCTGAAAGCTCAGTTTTCTTGTCTGTAACCTCTTGTTGCAGATTGCTGGTAATGAAAGTGACTATATAGATTTGGAGGTATTTGTCATGTATTTTTGCTATTAGGAGGCTTTGCTACAATGGTTAAATCTGTCTGATTCTTGCATTGTGGCAGGTAGTCGGGCTAACCTGTGATGGAGCAAGCACACTCCTTCGAGCTAGGGACGGGAGACAGCATATTCTGAGTATTAAAGCCGGCTGAACTGTTTTATTGTGAGAGAAAAATACTGTAGATTCTAGGTGAGAAGACGGCTGATAAGTTCAAACAAACGGGCTGGCAACTGCTGAAGTCACGGGATACAAAATATAGCAACTGCTGAAGTCACGGGATACAAAATATGGAAAACTGGAGAGGCCGATGGAAAGCCTGTTGGAGAGGTTTTTGGCCGGTAAATAGCTAAATCGGGTTTTACGGAAAGATTTAGAACATCTCTTAGAGATGCTCTTTAAGTCATATCGTTGAGGTTGGTTGGTAGCTATTTTTAAGTTCGACATTCATCTGTCCTCAAGGCGTTTATAGTGCAAAACTGCTATTTCTATAATTCCCACCTCCAGAAATGCCATCCATTAAGTAAGTTATCCAACCACATGATCTAATGCCTTTCTCTGAATTCTGTTTCCTTGATCATCTGAATCAGATAAATGCATGATAAGGGTTCACTCCGGCCAAGTTCTCGAGCTTTGCTTCCTGACACGGATTCAGAATCCAACCACGGTTCAACAAAAGAAAAGGCGCCACAGAAAGATGATGTCATCAAGATGACAACAAAGAGACCCAGGCGCTAGAAACTGTTTGAGCCATCTGTCATAACTGTTGTGAAACGACGCTAGCACACCAAGAACGTCCTTTACAGATGATCTCATCCGTCCGTATGGATCCGTACAGCGTCCGAACAAGCAGTTAAGATTAGAGATTGGATTAGTAGTTAACTGTGTCACTGAAGGGACATGTTTTTTGGTGACGAGATGTAACTTCTATAGGTTGTCATTTGGACACCCCTTCACATGTATGAGATCAATGAAATACAATAGTTGTTTTCAAATCTATGTTTGTTCCATTCACTAACGATCAGACACGTTGCTCTCAGGAACAAGAGAAGGAGAACGATAGAACGACAACAGAGGCACGTATGCCTCTGCACCACCATCGGTAAGCATTGCAAAGATCAACTTACCATCACATCTTGTTCGTGGCTTGCTCTTCGTCCTTCGTCGCGTCGGCGGAGTTCGCCGTGGCCCGATCCGACACCACGGCCACCATGGACAGCGCCGAAGCGTCTTCGAGCGCCTTGGGCCTCGCGTTCACCGCAACGTTGCCCATGGTCATGGCCATGGTCCTTTCGGCCGCCTCTTCAACTCTGTTGTTCGTGGCCTATGTGCAGATGCTGTTCCTCGCCGTCAATGGAGTCCGATTCGTCGTGGCCGCCATGCTTCTCTGCGCATCCTCCATCTGCAGAGCCAGCCACCGTCCCCCCGCCTTGGCGTGGACGGTGCCGGCCCAAGCAATGTTGTGCCTCCAGCGGTTGAAGCCCCGGTGCCACCAGTCGTTGAAGCCTCGGCGCCGCCCGTTGATGAAGTGGTTTATGAGCCCGTCGCTGTACCCGCGTACGTCCCATGGAGCCGATGTCGCCAGCACCGGTACCGCCTCGCTACTGGTGTGACTTCTACAAGGAGTACACGCTGATGCTGCACACGCTGGAGTACAACTACTCACTGCCATCGCCCACGCCGGTCCCTGAGACTCTAGTGGCGGCTGGCAGAAGCATTCCCGGCGACGCCCTCGATCCCTGGTACTTCAACACTGTCGCTGCGCCGATGCTCCAGCAAGTGAAGACCGAGGACGAGGACGAGGAGATGGTGGCTGCCCTGGCATCGGCAACCTCTTCAATCCTGGCGGCACACTCGTAGCTAGGTCCGGTGTCCCGCCGTACACCTTCCTCGACGCGGCTGGCCCTTCGGCGCCTCCTCCGGCAGCGGCGCTGCCCCTTCCCTGGAGCATCCTCGGCGCGCGCGTCGGCCCATCGGCGCCTCGAGCCACAACTCCGCCTCCAGCTGCGACGCGCGCTGAGGCTGCTGCCCGAATGAAGGCGACGGCACTTTCGGCGACCCCAACAACTGCTGCGACTCCATCTCCGGCCGAGGGCATTGCCGCCACGCCTCCGACTCTACGTCGACTCCTGGGTCGCAAGGTGGCCACGGTGGACAGGCGCCGTTGCATCTGCAGGGGAACCTAGAGCCCGGCGGCGCTTGGCCTCCCGAGCGCGAAGGTGCTGAACATGGCCGTCGGCGGCAGCGGCTTCTACTCCACCGACGAGGGAGAGTCTTCATCAACCTGAAGATGGCGAGCACGGGCGGCGCAGTGGAGAGGAGCGGCGAGGTGATTTTGTGGCGGTGGTGCCCTCCAGTCAAGCGACGGCGGCGGCCTCACAGGCAGCGGCGTGCAGTTAGGGGCGCGTCGGCGCAAGGAGAGCGGCCGAGTTCCTCGCAAGGCGATGATGCAATGGGGTGCGGGCGTGGGGGCCTGGGGGTGGCAGCCATCCGATGGCAGGAGGCAAAATCGGACGTGCCAAACAAGGGGTTACTGTGGATGAATAGTATTTTTGGGTGTGGAGAACGGAGGGACACTGCAGAACAACAATAATAAACAAAGTCACCACGTCTAAAGGTCTTTGTAGAATAGACTAGGTAGCTACGAGACAACTAAACTTTTGTACTAAAAACACACGGATCGTACGATAAGATAATAATACTGTAAGACATTAAACTGACATTTAATTCAAAAAACAAAGTTTGTGAAATTAACAGTCACTAAGAGTACGACGCCACAGACTCACAAACTCTACTATATAGACCTTTCCGTGATACGGCTAAAATAATATTTTATATCGGCAAGAAGTCTCCGATATTACAAACTAAATGAAGCAATCAAATATATCAGACAAACATTGCTCAATCCACATATTTTAAACTTGTTTGACCAATGAAAATGCATAAAATGACTATTATATTAAACTAAATTCATGTCCATCATCTATTCAAAGTGCATGTCGCAGGTGTGTAAATAATTTCAATATTATTTAGTCCTCTAAATTTATGAGACGAGACACGGTGTCCTTAGCAAATTCTTGAACTCGACGACGTCTGGCTTCATCAACAAGCAGACGATTGCGTAGGCCTATAAACAAATAAAAAACTTTTGGGTCAGTGTTGTAGTCAATAAATTAAATCAATGAATTATCTCAAAAGAACCTCACTTTGAAAATCATGCGCTTGATTATAAATAGGACTAAATACCAATTCGCTGAAATCGTCAGTAGTGATCACCATATCATATTCCAATTAAATTATAGTAGTAGCAGATAGAGTGAACAAATAAATTTGCATTATCTGTCACACAGGGGAGCAATCCAGAAATATAGCATATTATATGATTGTACATTGAAGCAAGAGATTATTAAAATTAGGCAACAGAATAGAGGTACTTAAAACATCAAAGATTCCCTGAGCAAGGAAGTTTTTAACATGCAAAGGAACTTGGCCTCAATAAGATTTGCAAGTTTAGAAGTAGAGCAACACAATAAGGTTTGCAAGTTTATAACACAAATGGTGGAACACGTTCATTCCTTTTCTGTTCGAACTGAAAGTTTACTTTTGATTTCATAAGACATTGTTTTTTTTATCAAAGAGGTAAAAATAAAGTCTAAAATTACAGGTGAACAACAATACTCCAGGTGCATTACATGCAGAGCTCTGGTCCATAAGGAAGCTAAATGAGTAAGAAATTGCAAAGGAACCCAACCAACTAAAGGATCTCACAAAATATTGTACGTAACAATATTTATTTATCTGTATACACTAGCTCAACTTTTGTAGCGTTTATATGATGAGGAGAACCCGTCTTCCACTCCTATTCATGAGTTTGGCTCCAAACAATGTAATTGAAATCTGAAATGATCATGGTTATAAAAAAAGTGTTCTAATCAGTAACTTGTAGCACTGAAAGCAATTTATCTCAAACCTGAATAAGGCCAATGAAGATGGTTCCAAGTTTTTCAGAAAATCCTGAAGTTACGATAATAACTGTAAAGTTCAACTGTTTATATATATACACACACACTGAAGGTAAAAACAATTTCTTTTTTAAAAAAAAAAGAACTAGACAATTCCTAAAAAAAAATTATCAGGGAAATGAAATAGCTAAAGAACCAATACTTTATGAACTGCAGCCGCTGCAAGCTGCAGTAATCAGAACCGATACTGACACACAACAGGTAAGCTCATTGACACAACAACAAGCAATTTTGTTAAGAACAGATTGAAAGCTTCTTTTTTTAGTATAGCGCGTGTCTTTCAGATCTGATAGTGTGATCAAAACTATTATGCAGCACACACATGGAGCACGAAAAAAAACTCAGCAGCTCAGTGGTATAAGAGAACATTCCATGGTACTATCTAAAACACAGCCATATACCTAATTCCTAAAGATTAAAAAACCACAACTGTTGTATGGAGGCTGAACCAACAGTTGCTATCACTCTAAATTAAAGGGGCACTAGAGTACTTGTATTTGCAACCTGAGATGCGGGTATTAAGACTTACAGCAGAGAAGTAAAGTGAAACTTCTTAGAAATTACCACTTACAGTTCATAGCACAATTGTACCTGACTTATTGAAACTTTGGGGATTCCACTGAGCTTCCAGGTAATCTTGTCGCTGATATTTTTAGTTCTTGCTAACTTGAACCAAGCAGCAAAAGCGCTTTCATGAAACCTATGATGTAATCTGACTCAAATGATCTCAAACCATGCAGGTTACCAATAGATACAAGCATAAGAAAGAAGGAACCTACTGAAAATGCCTAGCAAACATTTTTGGCGATTCGCAGAACCTCCCATCATTGTCTGCCTTCTCTAAGATTATTGAGACAGTCAGTGTTAGAACTGACATGTATATGTGGGCTTATACGACATAGGAAGAGAAGAGGCCAATGTAGGAACATGTTCCTGTGAACAGTGGGAAAATAAGAAAGGACAAACATGTATAATGCCCGTACTAACGTCACGGCTTCATTCAGGAATACACATGAAAATAACCAAACGGTGATATTTTTTCTATAGTAAGTATAAGTATATTGCCCATGCTAACGCTACGGTAGCGTCTAGAAAAAATAAATCATAAAACTAAAATAAATGAACTAAGGATGACCGTATTATAATCTCGCAGAGTTGGTCATTTCCCACTCAGAAAAAATGAACAAGCCATATTATAATCTGCAAACAATAGACAAAAGCTAAGGATGACCATCATGTGTACATTCTGAAACAACTAAGGACCAGATCCACAGTTGTTAACCTTTCTAGCTTTATTCTCCATGGGATGAAATTCCCGGTTCACCGGTGCTGCTCCTCTCTTGATGCCACTAACAACCATAAAGAGTGGCATAAAGGGGGCAACAAGTTTTGAGAAGCTCAGAAAACCAAAGCTGAAACAAAGAAATCTTAATGCGAAAGCTAGAGACAGCATCACGCCTGATCTAGGATCGCTGTGTTGAGACAGGTTTGCAAAATGTGAATCTAGATCTCTGCTGTTACTATGGCTATGGGTAGGAGCCTGCAGCTGCTGTACATATTGTTGTTGCCGCCGCTGCTGGAACAATGTTCTAAGACAGACCAATTTCTCTCTCAAACGTCTCCTGATCTTCAACATTGGCGAAAAAAATTTGGTAAGTCAACTGTTCTAAAAAGATGATTGATAAGCTCTACTATGTTCCTGATGATTGAATAATCTCGTTGGTCTCATAAAAGTGGTAATATAGTAGTCTTTTTATCAAGATAATGATGTTTTAGATACAACCACTGTCTATTAGAATTTATCAAAGCAACTATAGCCATATTGTTCGAATAGGTCCCCTGTATATTTTATCATAACTTCAGGAAATTAAAAAAGATTGACAACCTGTGACAGAAACATGGAGGTGATGAAATATGGTAATCCTCTCTGTTTTTAGACGGAACTAAAACATTATAAGAACATGTCAACTGTAGGCATATAGTTGGTGCTAAGTCTACAACAAAAACATTTTTTTACAGATTCCTAACATATATACAGGTCCATCACGTGGAGTCATCAGAATAAAATTAGAATATATCCCCAGGAAACAAAAAGCAGAACAAACCAAGGAGAAGAACTTACAAGTTCCAAGAAGACGCCAAATGACCAAAATATTTTTTAAAGAAGACAGAAGTCCTGTTAATACAAGAGATGCCAAATGACCAAATATTTCTGTATTTCCACAAAAGTTCTGCTTAATACAGTGCATAAGGAACATGAATTGAATGCATCAACAGAACTCAGAGTTGCTCTACTTAATACAGTGCATAAGGAACAAGAATTGAACGCATCAACAGGAATTGACAAGTTCTCATTAAGCTTGTGAAATATCATAGTTGCTCTGGCACTGTGCAGATCCAAGCATATAGCTGCAGAACTGAAGTTGCTCTAGTCATCTGAACTCTGATAGAACAGCATCTATAGTTAAGGACATGCAACAAATTGGGAGCACTCAAATTACAGAGTTTTAATATTGCTTGTTGGAGGTGTAGTTCATCCGTACCTCCAGGTCCTCCCATTTGGTGAGCTTCATGTTCAATTTCTCGAGCAGAGATCCAAAACTGGTGCAGTTATGTTTGAATCGCATGTAGGGGGAAGTGTACACGTCTGGCCTCACACTAGGCCACATCATCCTGTGCTACAGGACCCGCGCCTCTTCCAGCAACCCATCCTTCCTGCATCCGCTCACCTTGATGTTCCAGGAGAAGAGATCCTGCTCGGGCATTTTGGCGATCACCCTCCATGCATGCCAGGTCTCCCCGAACCTTGACAAGCATGATGAGCATGCCGTTCCCGAGGCAGAGCCCGAACCACGCGTGCCGGTCGTTCATGTGTGCACGCACGCATCCCTGGTTCCACCGCGCGGCGCCACTCGCAGAGGCAGAACAGAGCGACGTAGGCATCCTCATCGGGCGGATCCACCAAGGACTCGAGGAGCCAGAGCGCTTGCGTGAGCTAGCCATGGGAGCAGAGCGCTCGCAGCTCCGCGCTCGGGTCCACGGAGGAGTGTAGGGTCAAGATGGCGGACTAGAGGGGGGTGAATAGTCCTTTCTAAAATTAATCGCGTCGGCTAACCGAAATAAGTGCGGAACTAAAACTATCGGTCTAGCCAATACAAGACCCCTCTATCTATGTTCTTTAGCACCTTCCAAAGATACTAATAAAGCAACAAGGGTGCCGGGCTAGCTAGAGCTCACCTAACCAATTCTAGAAGCAAGGTCACACAAACCTATGCCACTACTACTTCAAGCAATAGGGGAGCTCCTACACAAGCTAGAAAGCAAAAGCACAAAAGTCACCTAAGCTCACTAGCAATACTCAATAACAAGCCAACCAATGCCAAATTAGTGAGTGCAAATACTTAGCTACACAAACTAAGCAATGTGACTAACAAGGTTACACAAACCAAATTAGCCACGCAAGGGAGCTACTTCTATGCTACACAAGCAAGAAGGTAACTAGAGAGCTACACTAGCTTAACTAGATACAAGAGCAACTACACAAGCATAATGTATATGAAAATAATTACAAGCTTGTGTAACGAGGATGCAAACCAATGGGAAGAACAAGGTTGACACAGTGATTTTCTCCCGAGGTTCACGTGCTTGCCAACACGCTAGTTCCCGTTGTGTCGACCGCTTACTTGGTGGTTCGATGGCTAATTGGCATCACCCGCCAAGCCACACGTCGGGCACCATAGGAACCTACCCCGAAAGTGAGGGTAGCTCAATGACACGCTTTACTAGAGTTGCTCTTCGTGGCTCCCGCGGGGCGAGCACAATGCCCCTCACAAAGCTCTTCTCTGGAGCACCGCACAAGCTTCTTGCGGGCTTCAACGGAGACCACCACCAAGCCGTCTAGGAGGTGGCAACCTCCAAGAGTAACAAGCACCACCGGCTTATAACTCGATCACCTAGTGCCACTCGATGCAACCTCATGATGCAATCGCACTAGAATCACTCTCTCACACAATCGAATGATCACTATCAAGTAGATGTGAGATGGAGGGCTCCCAAGCACTACTACACAAGCCACCAAGGCTCTAGTGTGCTCAGCTGTTGGCCCAAGGCCGACCATGGCTTCTATTTATAACCCCACGAACAAATAGAGCCGTTACCCCTTCACTGGGCAAAAGTCGGGCCGACCGGACGCTCCGGTCATGTAGACCGGACGCTGGACCTCAGCGCATGGTCGCTCGATGACAGCCACGTGTCACCTGCTTCAAATACAGTATGCCCGATCTCAACGGTCATAAGACGACTGGATGTAGCTACTCAAAGTGACCGGACGCAGCAACCCCAGTGTCCGATCGTTTCCAGTAAGGTACCAGCTGCGACCGGACGCGTTCGGTTGGTCACGATCGGACACAGCATCAGCGTCCAGTCCTTCACCACCTTCTCTGCATCGCCTACATCACCATACATCAGCCTGACCGGACGCGCCCTGCCAGCGTCCGGTCGAAGACCGATGCCTGCACGTTCTCGACCGCCACTGACCGGACGTAGGACCCCAGCGTCCGGTCACCACGTGACCAGCGTCTGGTCCACACTGTGAGTCCCTATCTTCTGTGTGTAGGGTGTCGGTGGCACCGTCGGACTGTCCGCACTCTATGGGCGAACACTCTGCCGGTGGAGTTTCTAACCCTTCTCGCCTCCGTTTCATCACCGAGTTGATCCACATCAACTTCAACTTCATCTCCCTTGTAAATGTGCCAACACCACCAAGTGTACACCACTATGTGTATGTGTGTTAGCATTTTCACAATCATTTTCCAAAGGATTAGCCACTCAACTTGCCACGCCACTCAATTCTAGCGACGATGCAAAGTTAGATCACTCGAGTGGCACTAGATGACCGATATGCAAACAAGTTTGCCCATCTTGATAGTATGGCCATCTATCCTAAACCTGGTCATTAACTTCTCTACGCACCTATGACCGGTGAAATAAAATGCCCTAGATTATACCTTTGTCTTGCGCATTCCATTCCATCTCCTCCAATGTCGATGCAGCACATGCACCAACGTGATCAACAATGATATGATCCACTTCATATCATCACGTGATCATATTGGTTCATCGATCTTGACTTCACTTGCTTTTCACCGTTGCCTTCGTCCATCAGCGCCAAGTCTTGCTCAAGCTTCACTGCCACGCGGTCTATCGCTCCAAAGCCTCTGACTTGCCTTTCACGCTTGCAACCGGTCCATCAAGCCAAATCTTGTCTTGATCTTCTCCACCTTGATCACATGACTCAATGTCATGTCTCATGTGCAATGAGCTCCTTCATCATCATATGTGTGAGCTTTGCAACATCTCCAAGCCATTTTCACCTTCACGACATATGTTGCTCACACACATGTACCTGTGGACTAATCACCTGTGTGTCTCACATAAACATAATTAGTCCATCTAGGTTGTCACTCAATTACCAAAACCACACAAGGACCTTTCAATCTCCTTCTTTTTGGTAATTGATGACAACTCTACAAAGATATGGAAATTAAGCTCTTTTGGATTCATGTTGCTTGCCCAAGCAATTTTACCATGTAAAAATAATTTTGGAAAAGTACCATAAACCCGAAATGGTAGTATTAGCTCCCCCTACATATATGCTAGAGTGTTTGTTTTGAAGCTCACACATATGCATAGATTGAAATTGTGGGACAACAATTACTACTAAATGATGCTAAGGTGTATAAAGTAAACTTTTGAAGCGTGATACCAATCGGAGTTGCACATT